TATAGCTAGTAAACTATCTCATTTTATTCATACAAATCACACTTATCACAAGGATTTCAAATGAAATGATCTTTACTTATATGTCAGAAAATGTCAGTCTGTTCATCGTCTATGTATCGATATATTTATCTATCTGCATCAATCTGTTTCTTATCTATCTATCTATCTATCTATCTATCTGTAACAGTTTGTTTCTTTTATTTCTATCTATCAGTCTCTATATCTATGTATCAATCTGTTTCTTATCTAACAATGAATCTATCAATTTATCTCAGTATATACATATCTATCTATCTATCTATCTATCTATCTATCTATCTGTATAAATACGTTTCTTTCATTCTTTCTCAGTCTGTTTCTTATCTATCTATCTATCTATCTATCTATCTATCTATCTATCTATCTATCTATCTATCTATCTATCTATCTCAGTATGTCCATATCCTCTCGATATATATATATATATATATATATATATATATATATATATATTTATGTTTATTATCTATCTATCTATCTATATATATATATATATATATATATATATATATATATATATATATGTATCTCAGTATATTCAGAACTATCTAAATATGTCCATATATATATGTATCTATCATATATATATATATATATATATATATATATATATATATATATATATATAAAGATAAAGATAGATAGATATATACATACAGACATATGAACAGATTTAAATAGAATCAGCTGTTTCACCAATTAGGCTACTATGATAAATCTCTAACAGGTTTTCTCATTTGATAATGTAGCTTTTTTTGTCACAACCGCTTTAGACACAATGCTCAAAGATACTGTTTGAATGTATCATCTAAACCCTTGTGCAAATTCAAACAACCACTTTAGTTTCCTTTCTTTCGCCATACGGTCAGTTTTAGACCCACTGGAATACCACAGTGTAATCAATTCCTATTTTTCTTCCTCAGATTAAGGCATTTGCAGTGGTGTACAGTAATATGAATCTATTTTCTGGGTGTATGATGAAATGTGTTTGGCTTTGAAAAATATTGCACTATGATTGCATCAGATTTTTATCACGCCCAGTTGCTATTGTCTCGACTGTTTATCATGGCCATTGTCTGCGATGTACGTTTCTCAAAGGAAGCGTACAAAAATTATAACACTGCACGAACACACTGGCAAATCTTAACAGTGAGCAAATCAAAGTACTATAGACTGGCCCGGAAGCTCTCCTGATTTTAATCCAGTCGAGAATCTGTGGACAAACTGAAAGGAAAGATTTTGTGGAATGGGCACACGAAGTACTAACATGTTCACTGTGTCGTGTTTCATTTGAAAAATACAAAATAAAGCAAATAATAACTGAATTATTCATATTGTTTCAATTAATTTGTACAAAGGTATATGTTCTATTTTTGGTTTATTGTTTCATTGTAAATATATCTGCAGTTTTATTTTCTCATTCGTTATTGGTATTGCTGAGATCTCCAAGTCAATCTTCCAAATGTTGTTGGTCGACTACAGATTTACAATAAGTTTTGTTGTCTTCATAAATGTTAATCTTAGACACATTACACCAACCACAATAATATCTGAACTTCTGTTAACGTTAATATTGATATTTTATAAATGAGGAAGTAAATTATTATCAGATTTCTTTCAACTTTATGTAATATTTCTCCTCTTCCCCATTGTTTTTTATGTAATATTCTTTCATGAAATAGACAATTATGGCTCGTTTTCTTTTACTTTCTGTGAATTTTCTGAGAAAGATAACTGAGGGTTTCCTGTTGTCTTCTCGACGACTTGACTTAAACTCGGTCTGCCTTTCAAAGGCTATCAATGCGAAAGTAAATGCAGAAGACTGAAGAGGAATTTCATTCTTTAGGAATGAAACTTAAAATGAGGCTATGATTTTATAGGTTTGAAGTTATGTGTTCCACGATGGGGGTCTGCATATTCGGTATTTAAATTGAGGAATTTTTTATTATTGAAATTCATAGCAGATCTGTTGGCATTTTAGAAACTGCACTTTTAAATGACTAACATCGTGTATCCGTTTTGCTGTACTGTTTGGCATTTGTGCCGGGAGCTTTAATATAAATATTTTCGAGTGTTTGGGTGTCAACTCGAGGACAATACAAGAGGATTCAGAAAGAATTGGCTATGTCTGTTTCTGACCTAGTAATAAAATAACTTTGTTGCTGAAATGCAGGCCATATTTGATAACTATCTCTCAATGTCAATCAGGTCCATAGCCAGGGACAAAGGAGTTTCTGAGTTTCTTATCGGGCACGTAGTGAATGAAGACATTCGCTGATTCTCATAAAAGATGAGAAAGGTCTGATTTTAATAGCAAGTGAGGAAGGACAAGAAGCTTTTGAACAAATCAAGCATCTTCTCCAGCCGAAAAGGCTTTGATTTTTTTCAGACTAGAACAATTTCTAACAGGATAAGATGGTGAACACATAGCAGAACCGTTGGCTTACTGTGTCCTCAAAGGTGTGGTGAGAGTGATGAAAACTAAATATTCAGTCAACAATGACTAATGATGACGTTATGCATCATTACATCTTCCCACATGGACACAGACAAAACATGGAGGCCTACATCAAGTGCCTTGAGGAGGTAGCACTTCCCTGTATCAAGACGGTGGTTGATGGAACACCCTATATCTGGCTCCAGTACTCTGCACCATACCACACAAGCAGGAGAACCCTTCATTATTACCTATGTGTCGCAGTTAAGCGACAAACCAACAAAACTCCTTGTAAAACCAAAGATAAACTGAAGGCAAGGATTATGGTAGAAATCGCTAATTTAAACAAGAAAACCTTCCAGAATGGTTGTAGGCGCTTCCGACGTCGCGTGGAGGCCGTGGTTGAAGCCAATGGCGATTTTATTAAATGCATAGATGTTAGTATTATTTTCATTTCTGCGTAATTTCGAAGAAAATTTATACATCGCACCCTATACATATTTGCCCAATTTACATTTTGAGAAATTGATTAGCGTAAGAAGTTGAAGTACGAATGCAAAGTACTAAGGTGCATTTACAAATGCAAACACGAAAATAAATTACTAATACGTTAACTAAAAGCACATCATCACTTCTTCTTCCACTTCTTCTTCTCTATGAGCCGTGTCTCTTAGTACCAAGACGATCATGACTCTCCACAACGCCCTGTCCATTGAAGCTCCTAATAAATTTTGTCTTTCTATTGATGACTTTTTTACCAACAGGATGAATGCTTCTTCATCAATTGGATCCAAGCCCTGCAAAGCCGTTTGAAGAAGTATTTGGTCTACACTGGGATGTGGGGAGGGAACTATGTTGATGAATAAATTTCATTTGGTCATATTCCGTAAGAGTATCGTGGTCAGCCTATGAACTTTTCTGTCGAGCCTCGTATTTATCTCCACTAGCAAAATACCCGTACGACGAACAGAGAAAAGAAAGTTGTAACACAATTTTTCTTCTTCTTCTATATGCTCTGTGTCCCTCAGGACGTAGTTGATAATTTCTCTCCAAAACTTCCTGTCACTTGCAGCTCTTACTTAAAAATTGTATTTCTGTTATTTCTCCTAAATCTTGTTCTGCCATCCATTTACTCATACTCAAGAAGCAGGTTATGCATTGTTTTCCTTTATCTCTGTTGCCTTATGAGTATCGTATTTTCCAGGCACTCTTTCATCCTTAGCTGCTCTTCGTGATTTTATGTATTCGATTCCTTTTGTTTGATTATTTCTAAACCTTCTTCGTTGCGCACATGTTCGGTCAATGGCATCCCCAGAATCTTTGTGTAGAAACACATTTTTGTTGCTTCAGGTTCTTTCTACAACTTTGAGGAGATTGTCTAATATTCACTGTCATAAAGGAGGACAACTATTATATAACAGTTCAGTACTCTTTTTTTCTTGTTTCTCTTGCTTCAAGTCTCTTCATCTGTGATAAGAATGTCCAACATCCACTGCCATATAACAGGATTGATATAAGAGTTCTGTAATCATTTCTTTGTTTCTGTTGCTTCAAGTCTCTTCATCTGTAATAAGATTGTCCAACATTCACTGCTATATAGGACGACAGATATTACACAACAGTTCAGTACGCTTTTCTTTGTTTCTAATGTTTCAAGTCTCCTCTTCATCTGTGAGATGATTGTCAAGCATTCACTGCCATATATGAGGACAGATATCATATAACTGTCCTGTACTCTTGTCCTTGCTTCAAGTCTCTTCTTCATCTGTAATAAGATTGTCAAGCATTCACTGCGATATAGGAGAATTGATATTATATAAGTGTTCAGTACTCTTGTCCTTGCTTCAAGTCTCTTCTTCATTTGTGATAAGATTGTCAAGCATTCACGGACATATACGAGGACAGATTTTATATAACTGTTCAGTACTCTTGTCCTTGCTTCAAGTCTCTCCTTCATCTGTAATAAGATTGTCAAGCATTCACTGCAATATAGGAGAACTGATATTACATAACAGTTCAGCATTCTTTTCCTTGTTTCTCTTACTTCGACTATTCTTCATCTGTTAGAAGAGGGTCCATCATTAACTGCCATATTCGAGGACAGGTATCACGTAACATCATGACTAAGAAGATTAAATATAATCACATACAAAATCTAATAAATATAATTTCATATACTAAAATGAATTTCCCTAAAAATAATACGCCAAAGAAAATTAATTAAATATATACATAATTAAAAAGAATAAAAAAAGTTTTGGTTTGCTGTTTTGTTTTCAATGACTTAGCTACCATTTGAAGGGTAGTTAGAGGCAGGGAATATTTTTAGGTTATAAGAATTTTTTTTGTTATAGTGATAGAAGTTTTAAGAATTTGCGCCATATCTTAGGGGAGAAGAGGTGGATTTTTACCTTTCTCAATTGTATTTGCGCGCAGGTGAATATGAAGAACTGCACTGGAATTGCATCTCGGCTCATTGGTTACCATTTCCAAATCATTATTAAACCACCCACACATCCCAGCTTCCACCACCTGGAATTCCCAAGCGTTCACCCATCTCGATACTAATCAGGCTCGACGATGCTTAACTTCGAAGATCTAAAAGGTGTTACAACGTGATATAGACGCATGCCAAAGAAAGAATATGTGACCAGACGGGTATAAGTGTTATAAATAACATTCAGAAATCGGCCAAAACAGAAGCACTAGGACGGGCCACTTTTCCTCTTCTTCCATTCCTTTTAATCCACAATATATATATATATATATATATATATATATATATATATATATATTCTTGGTACAACTTAAGAGATTCCCAGGGATTTCTTCAAAATTTTTCTTATGTTTCAAAAACAAGAGCTGAAAACCTCAGTATAATTACTAAAATTAAATTGAATTAAATACCAAGCCCTGTTTCATCCTCAAGCAAAAATGTAGGAGGTTTTTGTCTCTTTTTTTTTTTGAAACATGAAAACTCTTATATAGCGATGAAACCATATTTTTTTTTTTAAATAATTATAATTTAAGCTCTACTTTTGTATGGAGCACTGTTTTTTAAAAATAAAAACAAAAATACTAAAGAACTCCGGATTAATTACCTAACGTGTTATTCCCGATTTTTCTACATATCTATATATATATATATATATATATATATGGTGGTACTCGTTTGGAAAAACCTCGGACAGTTTAACTTGCAGTAGAACAAATCAGTACCCGAGGAAAAATGGGAAATAAAAAAAGAAAGAACCAAGAACATTAAAACAAAGCGAAAACAATCGTCAAGTGTTTAAGCTCCCAGTCCAAAGAAAAAAAAAACGAATAAAGAGACAACTATGTAAAGTGCTCAATACACTAAGTAAAGCGAACCTAAAATACCCTGAATATCCGTGTAGTTGAAACCTAGGTAGGTTTGCGTGGCTCCTTAGGATTCATATATATATATATATATATATATATATATATATATATATATATATATATATATATATAGGGTTGGTTACTTGTATTTTTTATAAGGTCTTCCGTCGCTTTTAGAAGATCTTTAAGGTTGTTGGTAACATATTTATGCTATCGATGAATATGTTGCGTGTTGATACTGCTATGGTTCCATGCTCAGATCAAACCACAACCAATATTCTCAAAGCTGAAAGTACCACTTGATCACTGACAAGTAACTGTTGATTCCATTGGGGAAAACACCGCCATTACCATTTACTTCAGTATAGTAATCTCATTGTTCAGCGATACTGTGTCGTCCCCGCACTAGCTATGAAGCCCAGACTATACCTGTAGATGTCCGTTGACGCGTTATTTGAAATGTCTAGTTTTAATCTTCCTGGTGAGGTTTAGCCATCCTCCTTGCCAGAAAATATCCGGTGGGGTAAGCTGTTTAGTCGCCATGTTTATATTAAATAACTATAAATGCTTCATATTCCATTTTATTCAGCACTACTTACTACATTGTCGGGTCATCGGCAACTAAATTGGCATATTATTTTATGTAATTGAATAATTCACAATGCAAACATGATCGTTGTTGTTATTATCGTTATAATCAAATTGCTTGCGTAACTTTTACAGTTCGTCTATTTATTTTTGTTTTATATTCTTTTCTTTTCGTGGCTTAGGGCCACATCACGTTGAGACACCGCTTCCAGTAGGGTCACCTAAGTTAGCCAACGTCCAACCTGGTCAGTACATAGATGGGTGACCGCTTGGCAAACCAAGAGAGGTAAACTTGGATCTGTGAGTGGTGTAACGGATTATGGCTCGTAATTTTTGATCGAAAATCAGAGGTTTAATTCGTGTTGGGTTCGTGATATTCACTTACGCTGAAATACCCTTAGGAAAGGAAATGATTCCATTTCTCCCTCGGCTATGGGTTAATTAGTAAGACTTTTATAACTAAACCATGATTATCTCCAACAAAATATCTTACAATCTCAAAATATTTTTGCTTTTAATCTCCTTCAAAGGTTGATAAGCCGTAGAAGACAAAAGTATCAATCAATCATCTTCTTTCGTGTCCTTAGAAACATTCTCGCGTAATTCCAATTTCACAAGCAGGATATTTGTTATGCTACGGGATTTGTTTTAGGCGTGTATTATAACCATTAGAAAACACATGCTCGAAAACTTTCACCTGAATAAATAGAACATTAATTTGGTTAAGAGAAAGAAAAAAGTGCCGGGTGGAGTCTAGATTGATAGGGAGACTGTTTAACATGTGTTTTTTAAAGGCTATGCAGCCTTGAACAAGTATCCTTCATTATTCTCATTGGGATATATCATCGACTACTGGACCTGATGAGAAATAAATAAACGCCTATTCCACCCAACAAAGGAAAATATTTTCATCAAGGCACGGTGTGAAGGGGTGCCTATGTTGTTGAGACTAAACACTAGATTTGCGAGGCCCTATAAGAATGAATACGTGTAATTCCTCCTGAATCAATATGAAACGACTGCTGGTTCTGAAGATTCATATAAATGCTAGGCTTCATAGATGAAATCTCGCGTCTGCTTAAAAGATGCCTTTTGGGTTTTCGGAGCTATATGTTTTTTGCGTGGATGAGCCGAAATTCCAATACAAATGTCTACGAAAGACAACACAAACGATCATGTCTTGGTGTATGATTTTTACCATTTTATATTTTTAATTTCGCGCATGCGCGTTCTTTGTTTTTAATTTTGATTCCTGCAAAGTATCGTAGTGTCAGTTGGCCACCGTCAGTGAGAAAAAAAACCCACCAAAACGCAATTTACTCCGCCAGAAATTCGGAAAAGGTATGATGTACCGCTTGGCATTCACGACGAAAACTTCAATCGGACCAATTCATAGTGCTTGGCTGTCAATGAGAGGAGAGTGTAGAGGATTCGGAAAGTGTTGAATAATTCTAATGGTGATTACGATAGTGTCTAGAATAAGCATTAGTGATGAGGTTGTTATTCCTCCCTTCATTCTTCCACAGGGCCACATATTCAACACGGACACATACATCAAGTTCCTTCAGGAGGTAATACTGCACTGGGTAAAGACAGTGGGTGCTGGGAGACGCTATATCTGGAAACGGGACTCTTCGCCATGCCACACAAGCAGCAGAACCTAGTTATGACTGTCAGACAATTTATTTCGACCACATCACTTCTTATATCTGGCCAGCTACCAACCCAGACTGCAACTCCGTTGCTTATTATGTTTAGGGAGCAGTAAAGTGAGAGACCATCAAAAATCCTTTTAACAACAAAGATGAACTGAAGGCAAGGATTCTGGCAACATTCGCCATTTTAAGCAAGGGGACAATACAGAACAGTTATGGCAGATGTCGAAAGCGTCTGGAGGCCAATAGCCATTTTATTGAAGACTAGCAGCATGGACCGGCGTTGCCCGTGCTTGATTCAATACAGCAATCGCTATCACTTGACTTAAAATATTTTTGCCCTTCCTTGGCTTTAAAGGAGTGTCCTTTGCTGTGCTGATGTTGCTACATGCCTTACTTCTTGTTTATCTCACACAGCGAATTTGTTCTAAGCTCTATACTAAACATTAAATCTGTTACGAAAAAAGAACTAAACAAAATGTGTCGCCGGTGTCGCCGCTCCAAACGTGACGTCCGCCTGTCTGCGTCCGTCGTGCTATCCTGTCATATGACGACCAACTGGCTTGGTATTGGTCGCGGCACCGAATGTAACGTTCTAACCTTTTGGTGATTCGGATGGGAATCTGGTTAGATTCGGAATCAGCCTCGTCGTTCCCAGCTCGCCTCCAACGTCTGGTTACCGAAGCAACTACTTTGATTTCCCGTCTAACCTACCCACGTTGTGAATTGATCATAGGCAGACGAAATCAATCAGTCGCCGGGCCGTAATGCAAGCCGAGTTCGAATAAGGGTGTTATCGCACAAGTATATGTAAAAGAAAATAAAATAATAACTCGAAAATTTTAAATGTGTTAAAAAGGATAACAATATTTTATATCTGGTTACTGAATATAGGACTACTTCTCTCTCCCAAACCGCTATATGGATTCGTGACACTTTGTGTTTCTTAGGCGAGTCTTAACATCTTAAGTTGTTTGTTCTTTTAAGAAACTGGTTTTTGGTGTGTCTTCAGGCGATATTCGTAAAACTTGTATTGGTGGTATGAGTCTAAGTCGTTCTACAAAAATAAATTGTTCTTGGTTAGAAGATGAGTTTGGAATTTGCGCGAATCTTAGTCAGCTCTGCGAGGCGGGTCTTCAGATCTCTCAGCTCACTGCAACTAACTGGAACTTAACTAGAACTGGAACTGAACTGAACTTATTTTCGCTCGCTGCGATTTTGCTTATATGGACGCCGACCAAAACCGCAGTGGGCTTGTCGGGGTTTGAGGTTCCCTGATAATTTCAAACCCACAATCCACTTCAGGAAAATTTTATTCTTCACCTTCTTCTGTTCTCATATTGGTATTTCACCATACCCTCAGAGGGCGTCAACGGTTTTCCCCCTCTCTCTCTCACAGTGACATCTCACACCTATCCCCTCAATGTGTGCCAGCAGGCCTCCCCTCCTGCCTCACATGATCACCTCCGCCTGGCCCCAGCGTGGGTGTGGCTAGACTAGCCTTGTTTTTAAAAAAATTTGGCTCAAAGAAAAAAAAAAAAATTCTTTTCCTTTTCCTTTTTCCTTCTTTCTTTCTCTCTTCTTTCGTAGTGTGGTCCCTTAATCGCAGCTCTTATCCTCAATGTCACCTGGCATATAATACCCGATGCCATCGCCAAACAAGTGGGTGGTCAATTAGACGTTTTTTGCATTCTTGGTGCCAATTTCTGATCCGATAAAATAGTTTCGCTGTCATAGCCCAATTTCAACACAAAACAGATGCCTTGTCCAAATGATATCTTCCCATCGAAAAAGCTTAACCTATGGTTTGGTCTTTTGTTTTTTTCAACTCTTGTGTGGTCAACGGACATTTTTGTTTCTCGGTCAGCGGATGACATATTTAATTTTTATCTCTTTAGAATTCTGTGGAAGCATTCCCGTGACACAGTTAAATGTTTATCTATTTAGAATTCTGTCTCTGAGGTTATTTGGCCAACCTGGAACTTCCACCCGACCCGTAACCTAAATCAGATTAATTCCAGCAT